TTATTTATTAAGTTTATTTACTTGGTCTCACAACATATTAAAAAAACTCGAAAACAAAATTTAATGATATATGAAAGGACTTTAGAACATTGTAAAAATAATTATTAATTAAAAATAACACGACGCATATAAAACAAAAAATAAGTTAGTTACTCTAATACAGAGTCAAAATCAATTAAAGAAAAAAACTAAAAATGAAAAATTTTTATTGAAAGATGCAATGATCCGTTCAGCGGCTAATGCGCTGGTTGTGCGCATCTCGGAGATTGCCATAAGCATACTTCGGGCAAATAAATCACGATCTTGGAATTCAGCTTAAATGACATCTCGTTTGTTTTAACTACCATCACATACTCAATGATTTGTCGTGGGGAACCTAACGGGTTACCGGGGCTCCGGCTCGACGTGCAGGAGAAGGAACGGGGTGGTTTTTAGTCAGCAAGAGCCTGACACTCCCTCCCGCCTCACCCAGGCGGGAGCAGCCATTCGATGATTTTCCCCCCATAAAACAAATACTCAATGATTTGCACCATAATTTTTCTATCACGATGCCGATCGATAAGATTATACAACAGACAGAGGGTAAAGGAACTACGTTAAATTTTTAAAAGAACACAAAGTTAAAAGATGATGGTCATTTCCAGTGTTTTGCAGGTCGTCATCATCATCAACAGCCGTGGCGACTGCTGACCAAAGTCCACTTCTTGCAAGGAGAAGGTTTGAGCATTAATCACCACACTTGCACATTGTGGGTTGACGATTTCAAACTTATAATTACAAATTATAAGTTCAGGTATCCTCAGGTATTTTTCAACGTTTGGCAGTGGTGTCTAAATAATCTTAGAAAGTATAGTAGGTAGTTTTACGGAAAATGTCACATTGGTGGTCTAAAAATACTAAAGTAAATACATTTCAAAGTAACTTAATCGAGGGTATCGACTATTTATCAGACTCGCAAGTGGCTAGCGTTGTTACAGTTTCGGTTATGGCTAAAAATAGGACCTATACACAGAAATAAAGATTGGTAGATGAGGCCGGTATTTCTTATTTGACTAATATAAAAAGAAAATCCAAAACAAACCTAGAGGTTAGGTTACCGCAGAGTTCAAGTTTCTCTCTTTCCAAACTTTATGATATTTTTCACGGGACCAAACCGATGAAAACATTCTTCTACATTCTATAAGGATGGACGAAGAGACATACAATTCATTCTTAGTATTAGAAACTCCTACATTTAAAAGTGGGTGAGTCAAGCCATTTCTAAATCCTTTCAGTGCCGGAAACCATTACTTTTACTTTAAACATTTTTGGTGTGTTAATGATAAAGGTTACACATTATTAGAATTCCAATCAGGTAGCACTTTGTCAGCTTAGGACTGACGATTTCTTAATGATTGTCATCAGGATACTTGCAAGGGTTCATTGATCTAGTCTTGACAGTTGCGGTGCTCGACCAACAAGTCTATTAATGTTAACGAAATTTGATGAAACACAGGTATATGCAGTTATGTTAACATGAACTTAATCAGATTGAACTTATTGACACTGGCCATAACTTTTACTAAAATACAACAAACAGTTGTAGACGTAATCGATTCGGATATTTCCCATCAACTAATTAATTTGAACTAGATGTTGTTTTTATGCGCCAAATTATTCTCTTCAAAATAATTACAGAATAAAGAGGCGTAACCGGCGAACGAAGGTGGTTTACCAAAATTTATGACCATATTATTTTATGAAGGTTACCATTTTTGCCATCGCTAGGTGGCGTCTCTGGCGAGTTTGGTCCTGACTGTCTAATTACGCACACTAATATTATCTTTTTAAAAATATACAAGTTTGGAGTAGTAGATGGTAGAAATCTCCTTTTTTCCTTAGCTCTTTTTGTCGAAGGTCATATTAACGACAAGACATCCACTGTTGACATACCCCAATAACTTTCAGATCGGCCGGCTAGCTTTAGAGGCGACCAGTATCTAGAGAGGGTCTTTGTGACCTTTATCAGTACCTACCGTTAGATTCCAACAGAGTCCAATGATAAAAATAAAATGAAGTCTTACTATCTAACATTTGAATTTTATCTTTTCCTATTTATCGTTCGTTTTTATTTATTAAAATTCAAATAAGTTTTCTACTTCTACTTCGCTGACTATTTAAATAAATAAATACCTACATTTTTCTTATTACCAAATTAACATAACATCACGCTTATTATCCCCGAAGGGGTAGGCAGAGGTGCACATTACGGCACATAAAACCACTGTACAATGTAACACCCACTTTTCACTATTTATGTTGTGAGTCCCATGTAATAGAGGGTGAGCCTATAGCCATATACACAATTCCAGACTCCGTGCTACCACTAAGATTAAAAAAAAAATTGTTCTTTGCCCGATCCGGGAATCGAACTCAAGACGCCGCAGTTGCACTTGCGACCACTCGGCCGACGACTCAGTCATAACCTAATTCTAGAAAACAAAGAACACAAAGAAAAGCTTTTGGTCTTGTATATAGAGGTATATAATTTGCGAAGGTTTTGACGGTTGTATACAGAAATAAACGAAGTTGTGGAAACCAAGTTACGAAATATGGAATTTTCCACACGGGCTTTCCACACATTTATAATAGTTGGGAAGACCCGCTAGAAATTATGAGTTAAGATTTTCTTAGGATTGCAGAATTTGCAGACGTACGTGATACTGATAGAAATGGACGTGATAGGAATAGAACACTATCATTACGAAGATTTCTATCTGTAAGTAATGTAAGTAGGTAAATGAACTATCACATAGTTCATGTAAGTCGTGAACGGACTGGCACATACCCTTAACCATACAGGAAAATGATTGGATTTAAAGTTTGAGCTGTTTGATATAACTTAACATTTTTAAGTGTAGAAGAGCCATGCTTCGGCACGAATGGGCCGACTCGACTCGGAATGATACCACGGCCTCACAGAAAACCGACGTAAAACAACGCTTGCGTTGCTTTCCGTCGTGTGAGTGAGGTAACCAAAGCCCAATTACCCCCTCCCTACCCTTCCCCAATCCCTGAATCCCCAACAATCCTCAAATTCCTAATACCCCCCAAAAAGCCGGTAACGTACTTGCAACGCCTCTGTCCAGGCATCTGTTCCAGGTGTCCATGGGCGACGTCGATTGTTTACTATCAGGTGATCCGTCAGCTCGTTTACCAGCTTATACGATAAAAAACCACTTTAGACTAGAGCCTCAAACACTTACGCTAATCGCAAATAGTGTGAATTTTTCTGTAGTAGTCAACACAACTATGGCCGTTCTCATCAACTACAACTAAACCATATGGTTTATAAATCCTAAGATATCTTAGTTAAAAGTTATTTAGCGTGACCTGAACTAACTCTTGCAAGTACCATTACGTGTCATTTATAGGTTGGCGAAAATCAAAATATCGTTAAAACACACTTATCTTACCTTAGAAGTGCCTTAAAATTTAAGACAGGTTAGTGTTAATGGGTATTAGAGTTAATAGAATTACTATACCTTTTATCTCTACTCTACTTTAAGGGAAGCGATACCATCAAAGGATATTCCAATCAGCAAGTACATAAAATATTGCGCTTGCGTTAGGTCCTGTGCAAGGGAACGTATCTATACAGAAGGCTTCAAACTGAATTTCAATTAGGAACAGCGCACGAGTCACCGAGCAAAACCTTTTTTATGTCCTTTTCAAAAATGTTCATCTATCTTGTTGATATAGAACAATTAATAGCTGACATTATGTAGGTACTACTGCATCAACTCTTTGTATTGCTACATTTGTATTTATTTCTGTCTCAAATAGTGTTTCAGTTTTATTAAACTTTGAAGCAGGTGTCGATGTGTGACCACTATTTATCGTCTTTTCACTTTCTGCTCATCCACAAGGACTAGCGTGATGATATTCCACGTCGGAATAATAGGAGCTCAAACGGCCGCCATCACGATCTCTAGTTACGCAACTCTGTCGAATCGATTCTCTTGAGAAAGTGAATTAATATCGAATCTCGTTTCAATTTGGTTTCTATTTTAAAGAAATTTTGATACAGAACAGATTGTGGGTTAATGAGCTAGCTAACTGTTCTGTGAACAATGAAACATTTCTGATATTGAACATCTTTTTGTTTTATTTATTCATTGTGCTTACTTATTTATCGGTATCAGTAGAATCAATATAATACTCTTCAATGTGTACAAAAACATTGAATTTTCAGGAATATTGGAATTTCAGGAATACTGAATACGCAATTATTCAGAAAATTCAATGTTTTGCATGTGCATGTGCATAAAGATGTTGACATTCTCTGAATCTCGTGAATTCTTATACTTAGCGTTTGCACTGATAAGTGTTTAGATAAACGAAATATAAGCACTAGGAGTTACACCAAAATGATAATATTGCAGGTAGTTGAAGTAGTAGATCACGATGCAAATCGAAAAAGATCTAAAATCTACGCAATCACAAATAACACGGCGACGAATACCTTCACTAGCAACACAACTCTAACAGAAGTACTAATAAAAATTATTAAAAAATAACCGTTATGATATTAAAAGAAACACCAAAATCTCATTGTGAGGTTACAAAAGCCAAACATGACTGAAGCAAAATATGATATAGCAGTACATCATTGTAATTATCTCCTATTGAAATGTAACATCGGCTGAGGTTTGAAGCATCGTCTGACGTCATCGATAGCCCACATAACAGACAATAATTGCCGGTACAGCTATATGTATATCAAAGGCAACAACGCGACTAACGCCATTTGAACCAACTAATCCATCGTAATTAGAATGCCAAGTAACGCCTACTAACCTAATTATTTTGTCTTTCAAAACACGTATGGTATACCCTGGAGCGCCAGAAATTGGTTATTCAGCGCGCGAAAGCTCCACACGAGAGGGGGAAGAAAGTACCTGCCTGCGCGCGCGCACCTGTTGTCGCGACGCTCGCTCAGTCGCTTTCCGACAGTTGGCCACGCTGCACGCGCCATGACCGCGCGCCCCACGAAAACGCCGCGAGTGTTTAATTTTATCATTACAGTGTGAACTATCAGAATGGATGTTTTGTATATCTGTGTGATCCTGTCCCTCATTCAAGGTTGGTGTCTTTCATTACCACATTTTCCACAGTGCTCATTGTACTACTTTCTTGGGAAGAGAGATGATGAGATTTCTCTACTTTTTTGTGTTTTCTTCTTGGTTATAGTATTGTTTGTATTTGGTTGTTATTTGCAATAGTTTTCCGCTCGGTTGATGGTGAATGTGGGGTAATTTTCTATGGATATTGAGGTCACCATGATGCCTGTTACAGGTGACTGTTTGCGGTTTGTATCTCAAACTTCATGGGACGTGGGTTTGATGATTGCGCTAGGCTCAGTTTTCATCTCGAGTTTTCTACTGTTAGTACAATTTGCTATTGAGAGAAAATTGCCTACTTATGCGGTAATTGCCGTAGTTTATTTCCAAAGTTTAAGCAACAATTTCTTTTTTAATATCATCATCTCATCGTCGACCATTTTATCAAGACTAAGGAGCGAAGGACTCAGAAGGACGACAATTTCGCAGTGTCAATCGTTCCGGGTTTTATAAGATTCGAGTTTATTTACAAACAATATTTTTTAAAATTGTTTATTTCTTTCTATATTGGTGTAAAGTCTGCTTTCTTTCCGTCTTTCGTTTCCGAGTAATGTAGGTCAAATATTGTTCGCGTCTCTCTTTTAAATTGCTAAGATTGTGTCTGAGAGAAATGAGAAGATCGCGTTTGTGTTTCAATTACTTTAGATTAACGTAAATAATAGCACCAATTAAAATGCAAGGTTTTGAACATAGGGTGATTCAAAAGCAATTCCTGTCTACAACTTGGACCAATATTGCAATACCATATCTCAATACGGTATGATTGATATGATTTTTCATAACAATTGGCAACACACAAAAACACTAACGATGGCTCGGCAAAATACGGCGAAACTTGATCGCCATCGATGGAACTGTTACTAGTTGCTTCTTCTTCTAATTTCTTCTAATTTAGCTGTTTGACTTTAGTGATTTAAATTAAATTCAATAGTTTACTCATAATTTTGGTACTTTAAGTGCCTGCGTAAGTCTTGAACTTATAAATATAGATCTGCAAGAATTGTTATAAATAAAATACCATTCAAACTAAGAGTCATTATCTATTTACGAGATGTCGAAAAAAGGCAGCAATATCACCAACTCGAAATTAAAGCTAACGTACTCAGGATGAGAAGACTAAAGTTTTCTTTAAATATGTTTAGTACGACTATACAAAGAAGCTCTTAAGTCTTAACCACAGTAAGAGCGAAAGATGCAAAAGAGCTACACTAACCTAGTTCCCTTCCCCGAGTTACGTTGTTTTGCCCCATTATGTAGATGTAAACAAGAAATCTCCCGCTATCGAAGCACGCGTCACTCTTGAGCGACGAGATTTACAAGACGTGAGTGATAACCGTTCATTAGGTGAGGTGAGCCGAGACAAATTGTGCACACGTAATGCTCGTGACTTTGGGATAAGTTGACTGGAAACCAATAATGATAAAGTAATTAGAATTGAAAAGTTTCAAGTTATATATGAAGAAGATTAAGTAAATTGAAACTTGTAAGCTAATAAGAGACAGTATACACATAAGGCCAAACATAACTGGAAGGGAAATGGAGAAATGACATAGATCCTACAGGATTAGAAGTTCTGTAGTTGATGTAGAAAACAAAGTTGCCATGAAAGTTTTATTACATAGAATTGTTATGCATCAGTTAATATAGAGTAGAGATTATGACGAGGTAGAAGATCAAGGATGATTGCAACAAATGTGAAGAAATATCACATTATTTATAAAGATCTCAATTTCAATATCTGAACGAAAAGATGAATGCCTTTTTATGCAAATGTATGAGAAAGCTTTGTCATTCAATTCGAAATATTTCGTAAAAATGCGCGCGCGCTTCATATTATAGGACATGAATATTTAAATTAATCATAATTTAACAATGGATTGTCTATTTGTCCAAATTGACTAACGATGCCATGGTCAATAATGTCAAATGAAATTGAATTAAATATTACTTATATCCTTTTGAATGTTATTGGTGAGGTGTTTTTCAATTTTAATTGATTATTGTCAAATCCCCATTTGCCACTGATGGCTGATACAATACTAGGTTTCTTAGGTATGTGATATATCATGATCGTTTTATAGTGGAATAAACTGATTAAGCGTCATGCGTTAATCTCCCAAGTCAAGTCACAACACTTAAGTACCTTGCTTTCTACCATGTTTCTGTTAACTTCTGAGTTCACACTCATACCCATATTACAAAGTTACTGAATTTAAACATGTTAATGTACAATAACTCTGTTGGACAAACCCGCAATATCAGAAATCAATTCTGCTTCCAGAATCAGAATAAACCTATCAGAATTATTACCAGTTGCTGCGCCGTGTCTATCAAGATTCTTAGGGTTATCAATATGTTTAACTGCTATCTTTTTTAACCTTACGTCGTTGTTAACTAGAGCATGAAGCAGTTTGTATGTATGTACATCTGTGCGTGTGTAAGTAACTGTGGACAGTTTAGCACTACGCTAACTAATATTTTCCGGATGACAGTTAAGTGTCTATTGTTAGTGTTAAATTTACAATTATGTTCTGCTTCTTATTCGAGTGCATGACTGTGTCCATTTAATTGAGTGTCATTTTTTGGCGATACTTTTACCAATATGTCACCGTACGTTAACAAAATTGTTCCTCTTTAATTTTATTTGTTGTGTTACTTCTTACAAAGGAGATTTCTTCTTCATTTTTGTTAATAAGTTTATTTTCGAATAATTCTACCAATCTTGTTCATAAATCTTAGACTTTTAGCATCAAGATTTGATTTTGTCGTTATCTATGTTATCAACTTTAACTTGTAAAGGTTGTAAATAATAAGACACTATTAAAATACTTTTTTACTTAAAAATAAAATATTTGTCAGGTTTACATATTACTACGCACAAGTGCAGGCCTCCCCAAGTTACTGGTTGACGACGGAAGTGCACGAACCCTCACTTCCGGTGATGGCAACTGACCCGTTGCGACCGAAATGAATGCAGGAATAATATAAAAATATCAGTATTTTTGGACTCCTGTCCAAAACTTTCGAAGACATTTTATTTATAACGTTTCTTTAACGTTGTTTTAAACTGTTAAGTTATATTATCAGTTCAAACTTCCACCAGAATATTATAATTAAGTCGTTCTGAGGTGGAAGTTTTTTATCTACTTGTAGACGTAAGTTTCGAGGAAAAAGTTATTGTGTTTCAATACAGTAGCAACATAGTAGCTTAGTAACTGCAACGAAGTATTAAACTCACATCCGATCCACACCAGCTAGCGAAATATTGCTGATCTACGTTAGATTTGACAAAAGATTGTCACAATGTTCCAAGTGTTATTAAAAGGGAGATACAAAATCCTACAAAGATCCAAAATTCCATTGTAAAGGTAACATCACAAACACTAATAGACACGGGTATAAAAACGGACAATGATAAAGGATCGATTATAGTAACGCAGTGTATCCAGAGAAGAATGCGTTTTTTACACGTAAGTTGTCCGTTCCCGGATGCCTCCACCTTGATGACGACAAAAAATGATGCGATACTACACATTCCGTTTCCTATAGTGATGCTGATGGTGTAATATTTTGTATCAAACGTTATGCAGAAAACTGAGAATTCCTTTCGGTTGCGCAAATAGTTTGTGAGCGCATCACGTTGTCGCAAGTATTTGGAAATGCATTATTACTTCATTGGAGACTTGGGTTGGGTAATTGTAGCGATGCTGTTGATATATTCCTGCTGTTTAGTTTCAAGAAAGGCCAATAGCTACATTCTAATTTATATAGTTACGCCTGACGGTTTTCGTAAATTTTGGTTGTCTGTCCCTATTACCAAGTAGGTAATCGCATTTCCTTGTTGATTTTTTTACGTATGGCTAAGGGTAAGATAAGAGTAAATATTTATATTTGACAAACGCCTAGATAAACAAAAAGTTATTTAAACAATTACAAAAATATATTAGCCGGGAATAGGAATCTTCTTCGACTCTTTACTCTCGTTTCTTATCATTTGAAGACATGGGCTGGGAACTTAGATGCTTAATGGTCGATATATTGTGAAGTTCGTCTGAAAATCTCGCCGAAGTGTCAACGTGCCAATCTGACCCCGTACGTGCTTCCTCAGAACTTTCACTAGCTCGGCAACAAGATGGTGTTTATAAATGTTTTGTTACACTTTATCTACGTGCAGTAAAGTAAGAGTGCAGGTAATCAGCGCAATGGCTACCTGTTCGAGGCCATTTTGCTACATATTTTCATTATGTTTATGACCTGTGTTATGGTTATGGCTGTTTGTAGGTAAATGTGTATTTACCTTTCTCCAAATGATATGGTCGTTACATTGTAAATTTTTGTGTCACTTCTAAATTGCTTTAGGGATTTTGATGCAGTTTCTTTTGATTTAATTATGACACATACGTGACAAGAGAATTTGTATATAGAGAAGTAAATTACAGGGTGATTTTTATTTTAAGAAACTGACTGTTATATTTTGACAATAAATTCTGTACACATGGGTACCTACTGTTTAAAGTTACGGTAGACACGTATATATGGGGTACTGTTTTAACCTGTTGTTTGCGGTATACAATGCTAACTGAACACCGCATTTCGCGAGAAAACATGTTACATTTTATCCTCATGAAACGGATGACGGTTATATAAGAACTACGCTTAAAATGTGATGGAGATGGAATCACGTGAAACAATTAAAGGAAAAATTAAACAAACGTGTATACAGAGTACAGCGTGACTTCGAGGTCTCGTGTTCTTGCTTGAAGTCTCATTTTTGCGTTTCATAATAAAGTTTATATATAAGTCGTACTTTTGTTTAAGTTCACGTGGAAGTGCCATGGGTCGATTCAACCGGAGTAACACCACGATTTCCAAGAAATGATTTGTCTATGATTCGTATGTGTCTGTACCTGAGATCCAATTCTCTTCCCCAACACCATAGGCTAACCACGCACTTATGACTCC